TCGGCTACGAGTTCTTCTACTCGCTCTCCTTCAGCTACTGCTACTGGAACGTGGACTCCTTCCTCTGCCGCCGCCTGATGCTCGTCTGGGCACTGCTGATGTACGTCGGACAGGCGCTGAAGGAACTGATCCGCTGGCCTCGACCCAGCGGCCCCTCCATCATCATTCTGGAACCGGCGTACTCCTTCGAGTACGGCATGCCCTCGACGCACGCCATCCTCGCCCTCTCCATCCCCGTCAACCTCTTTCACCTGCTCTTGCCCCGGTACTCCTTCTCAGCGGGCGTCTTTGCCCTGTGCGCCTTCGCCTGGTGCTCGCTCATCTGCTGCAGCCGCCTCTACCTGGGCATGCACTCCGTCCTGGTTAGTAGCTCTATCATCTTCCACATTCCGCTGACTAATCACCACTTTTTTCTCACCCACTCTTACAGGACATCATCGCCGGCCTGGCTCTGACCGCCACCCTCCTCGTGCCTTTGTTGCCTCTGGTTGACAGCATCGACCACTTTCTCGTCTTTCGCCCCCTCGCTCCGCCGGTGCTGCTCGCCGTCCTGGTGGCCGCCGGCACGCTCTACCCCTCCGCCACCGACCCGCGATCGCCCTCTCGCGGTGACACCTGTGTGATGATCGCCGCCACCGCCGGCGTCTACCTCAGCACCTGGCTGCACTACCACCTGGGACTGATGGTGACGCTGGGAGGAAAACAGCCAGCCTTGTACAGCATTCACCTGCCCGGAGTGGATCAGCTGCCAGTGCTGCTGCTGCGCACCGTTCTCGGTCTGCTGGTCATCGCCGCCTTTCGCTTCCTCGGCAAGACGCTCATCTGCCAGCTGCTGAAACGAGTTTGCGGCCTCGACACCGCCCCCTCCAAGGACGGCCGTCGGCGAGCGGTGGTCGAGGTGCCCACCAAGCTCTTCACCTACTTGATGGTAAGTTGGTAAAGGAGTTGAAGGAGATGAAGTTGTTTCGAACCCTCTCTTTTATGACACCACTCAGGTTGGTCTGGCCCTGGGCTTTGTGGCGCCGGTCTTCTTCCGCTGTCTGCACATTGATCGTCAGTCGCTGTACATTGAAGCCTAAATCTCTCTCTCTCTCTCTCTCTCTCTC